GCATTATTTTTCCAAATAAAAAAAGTAAAAGAATTTTACCTTCAATTTGCTACAAATAATTACTAATGTGTTTTTTTCTCGAGTGCACACTCTTCGTAAAAATAAAACAAATTACATCATTCATGAAGAGCCGAGATACAGTTAGTTTCAAAATAAAATAGGAGACCTTGATACCAATTTAAAGTTTCTTGAGCGTTTGTTTGTCAAAGTTACGGGTTATATGGTTGTTATCGTTACTATTACCTTTTTTTGTAAAAAACAAGTCAAAAGTTTTTTTCCATTTTTGAGTGTTGTGGAATGGAATTTAGCAATGATGAGTACGCCGATATTATTTTTTGTACGGTTTCTGTAATGGAAATGCTTTAACGGCTCCTCGGGAAGGTTTTTACGAGTTCATTTCTGAGACTTCGGCAATACGGAATTGCCGAACTTCCCGGAGTTAGAGGCCATGGTGTCTGGCATACTATTCAAGAGGAACTGGAAGTGATTAATTGGCGTTGGATGATCTTAGTAAAGGAACTAGGCGGGTTGCAGCCCAGTTACCATGTTCTCAAGGTGTTGCGTGGAGAGTTTCAAATCGGGAAGTCTTATTTCCTTACCATCAGCAAAATGTGCAATGTCTGCAGCCTGGCGATGAAGTGCAACGACGAAATGCAAGCTCGTACTTAGCTTTTCTAGAGAATTACACAGAAAATGTGTGAGATGATCCCTAGCAACGAGAGTACGAATGTGGTGTCAGCTTGACGGATGGTGCTCCACCACAAGTTCGTCGGTGACATAACCGCATAGTTAAATAATCGTTTTAGACCACGATGGATTGGCAGAAATGGACCCGTACACTGGCCTGCGAGGTCTCCGGATTTGAACCCCCTGGACTTCTTTTAGTGCTTTTAAACAACTAATGTATGCGAAACAAATTAATAATCTTGATCAGTTACAAGAAAGAATAGATAATGCGTTTCATCAAATTCAAGCAACAACAAACTTTGTCTGAAATACGTTTTTCTTTATTATAAAGATGTGCATGTTGCATGCACACGTGTTCCCTCGCCAGAGTCCGAGTGGCGTTCCCCCTTTCCCCTGTATCCACCTATAGCCCCACGGTACCCCAAGGGTGTTTAGGCCTTAGGCCTTCGTGGTAGTTGGAATATAAAAAAGACTGAGGTAAGTCCACATACCAAATTTTAGTCCATTCCAGTTGACGGTTTTTAAGATATTAAGCAAAACTAATTTTTTATTTTTAAACCAACTATCTTTTTAATGAGGCCCTCGTGGAACAAATGTTACATAGAAGCCTCCCCTTAAAATGCGATCCTGTGTATGACATTGCATTTTTGGTCACGACTTGTGTATCACCCTGAATATGTTAAAAACATGATGGATAAAGCCGCAAGGTAGTACCGTAGATGGAACACGGTCTAGAAAAAAGAGGAGGTTTTAGTGCCAAAACAATGAAGCGATTTATTGTCCATATGGATGTCCTGACATAAAAGGCAGATGTCTCGGTATGAGTTACATGTTCTAGATTCAAATCCCGTCCGGTATTTCCACCAAATCCCTTACTGTAAGTTATTTTCATTTTTTTTATTCACTCCAATCGGCGATGGGATCACGAATAAATTTAAAACATTCCTGTCGATTCTCTCATGACTGTTCGAGCATGGTCAAACATTTTTGGGTGGGTCAAGGTTTTATAAAATCTTAAACATATGTTTTCGGTGTTTCCTAAATCACTTATTATTTTACTCTGTAATCAGAGAGTAGTTTACTGGATATAAAAGTTTGAAATTGCATATTTCTGTTTCAAGGTTCAAGTAGATTGACTTGAAGCGTTCAGCCAAGGTTCGGCGGTGGCTTTGGCAGTTCATAATATTTAGTCAGCAAATTATCAAATCTGAGAGTCAAGTGCTGTCAAAGCAATTCTATGGCTACTGCTATTCAGCATAAAAGCGCTTTATTTTGGATGAACGCTGCCAATGTGTGAGATATACTCGAACTACACCAATCTACCTGATTCCACTTTTCAATCATCATACTCTATAATGGATCAATTAATCAAAAATAAGCAGCCTAGGCACGAATAGATGAACTGGGGTTGAGTATACAGGGTGGCGCATCGAAAACGAAACAGACGCATTTACTGGCAGCTCAGTTTTTTTTGGAAAAACGCTCAGACCCGTCAGTTTTGTTTTCGAGGGGGACACTTAACACGTGCAGCCCCCTGGGCGGTGGTGACACCAACCCTAAAATCTTAAATGAAAATGGGGGTCGAGTGATACTTTATTTTAAAGGTCTTTCAATTCGCTTTATAATAATATAAAATTGATGTACTTCAGTTCAGTAGTTTTGAAGATTTATTGATTTAAAGCTTAAAGTAGACTTTAATAGGTACATCAGATTAGTTTGTACTACTTTCAGAAGAAATTTGACTAAAAGAATTTACTTAATAAGTAAATGCTTTTCTTCACTACACCCATGGTTTGTTTATAATTTTTTTGAAAATAGCTATTGGAGCGTTTTTTTTTGTGTCAAAAAAGTTATTTCTTGAAGAAAGATAAGGAAATATCTCGTACTTATTTTAAATAGGAATTTAGTACATAGTTTGCGATTGATTTGACCAAACATTGTTGCTAAATAACTTGTAACGCTTTATTACATAAATTAACCATGGTATATTCCACAGCAGAAAGAGTTGCAATTATCAAAATATTTTTCGGAAATAATCAGTGCGCTAATAGAACAGCAGAAATATTTAATGAGCGACATGAGAACAGTAACATGCATCGAAAATATGTTCTAGAACTTGTAGCTAAATTTCGGGAAACTGGGTCAGTCGCCAATAAAAACGCAACATTGACAATCCCATAAGGAACGAAGCAATAGAAATGGGGGTTTTAGGGCAAGTTTATGTAGATCCTACGTTAAGTACTCGCAAATTGTAGACTGTGTGTGGTGTTAGTCGACGTACTGTCCAACGGATTTTAATGGCCCATAGTTTTCATCCGTATGAAATTCACCTGGTACAAGAACTTAATGAAGACGATTTTAATCGGCGATTACAATTTTGTGAAGATATGAGTGAACGAATTATAAACGATGAACATTTTCTATTCAACACTTGCTTTTCCGACGAATGTTCCTCTTTCTTAAATGGCGTAGTAAATCGTCATAACTGCCGATATTGGTCCGATTCTAATCACAGAATTTATCATGAGCTTCGTACACAGCAGCCACAAAAATAAATGTTTTTGCTGGTATTTTTGGTGATCATTTAGTTGGTCCTTTTTTCTTACCTGGAAATTTGACCAGTGAAATGTATTTGGAAGACGCCATAGATCCTGCATTAACAGCCATCATTGAAAATCAGAATGTTCGGCGGTACATTGCGAATAGGTTGATGTTCCAAGAGGATGGTGTCCCACCACATTACGCATTACGTGTTCGACAATATTTAGATCAGACGTTTCCAGATCGATGGATTGGTAGAAGAGGTGCCATTGAATAGCCCTCAAGATCGCCAGATTTATCACCTTTGGATTTCTTTATGTGGGGTCATTTAAAAAGAAAAATCTATGCTACTAAGCCAACGTCATTAGAAGACCTGCGACAAAGAATTGTGAATAAGTGCCCTCAAATTACTCCTCAAATATTGCAAAATGTGCGGCAACGTTTTGACCAAATCTTTATTCTTGCACGGAGAGTCATGGTAGCCATTTTCAACATTTACTTGGCTAACGGGTCAGTTCAGTCTTTATTTTTAAATTACTTTGCTGCCAAATGTATTGATCTCCATAAATGATGATGTATTAGTTTTATTTAAGCTTTAAATCAATAAATCTTCAAAACTACTGAACTGAAGTACATTAATTTTATATAATTATAAAGGGAATTGAAAGACCTTAAAATAAGGTATCACTAGACCCCCCCTTTCCATTTAAGATTTTGGGGGTGGTGTCACCCCCGCTTAGGGGGCTGCACGTGCTAACGTGATTTTTTGCCAAACTTGTGTCCCCCTCGAAAACAAAAGTAAATGCGTCTGTTTCGTTTTCGATGCGCCACCCTGTATGTGGCACTTAAGAATGTGATGACACTGCAACGCAAATCAAAATTGGCTGTTGAGAAACTGGCCTCAGCTGAAGCTAAACATTTTGAAAAGAGAAATAGCTAAACGTGGATTGCTACTCCCGCGTGCTTCCTCTACTGGTAGGGCAGGGAATGAATGTCTTAAGGACTAATTGTATGTACCTATTTGAATGACTTTTTTCTCAGAGGGTCCAGGGTTGTGCTGGAGACAATCCTTTATGAACTGATAACAGCGTTGCGCGGGAAATGCAAAGTCAACCAACTTGACGTTTTTTTTTTCAAATGGCATTCAAGAAAGCTAGAGGGGGGTCAACTTATAGGGGGTCTTAGGGTTACTGCTGGAACTGATTTCTGGCCACAACACATTGAGACGCCGCCTACACAATCATGACGGAGTGCCATGACTAAGGTCCGGATTTTTCTGTAGTATAAAACTGCAAAATATGTTTTTTATGCTGTAAAGAATAGACGAAATATGGATTTTATATGTGGAAAAACTGAAACATAAATCTGCGAACACAAAAAAATAAACGCTTATATATTAATATATTATGTTCAATATAATAAAAATTATAATATCATATCAAATAATATTAAACTGAAAGTCAACAAAACAAACAAAAGGTTTTTCTGTAATGAACAGTACAATACTAATCCAAACTAATACACACAAAAAGTTAAACATTAGGGTTGTAGTATAAAACTAATAACTGGTTAATACTATCCATGCTTAAATGATGGCGTTTGTCTATTAATAAATTTTTAAAAGCCGAATATGGTGTGATCGGCGCAAATTTCAAGGAAGCTATGTCTGAAGGCTTCATTTTAATATCCGGATCACTTTGGCTCTGTAATCTCAAAATGTAACAAACATTTTTTATTTGTTGGTATCCAGGATTGCGAAATAAAACACTTTCTCATTTAACCCTAACTTTGTTTCCAATTTCTTCAGGAATAAGACTTAGTTCTTCAATCACCTTTTCTATGATTCTGAAAGATTCGTTTAATGATAACTGGGTATTTTTCAGCTCCATTATTACTTTTGCTAGCATGAAAAAATGAACTTTAATAAAGGCTAAGTCTTCTAAAATGTTTGACTCTAGTATCGATTTCCTACAAGATCTAAGTGCTATAGAATCAGCGTCAAGCAAAAGAAAAATTTCTTTGATTTTTACGAAATTATCTGCATAAAACAAGGCAGCATTGAGCCATGTACCCCATCTTGTAATAACAGGCTCAGGTGGTAAGGGCAAGCCAGGAGCCATTTCTTTGTAAAATTCTACCCTTAAGGGAGCTTTTAAAAGACCTTTTTTCCGTTATTAGTTAAATTATTAACAGAAGGATATTCTGCACGTACTAATTCGGCTAATCTATTGAATGCATGAGCCATACAGGTGCAATGTATTAATTCCGGGTAAAATACCAGTAAAGCTTTTCCAGCTTTGATCATATAAGCGTTTTTTCTAAGGCTTAATCAAATAAGACACTGGAGGGGTAGACTCGTTTAAAATACCAACAAGTTTTTTTTTCAACAAAGCGACCACGTGCATCTGTTGTTTCGTCAATTTGAATATAAATATTTGTGTTGCATAACTTTTCCCTAATATTTTCTAAACGTACCTGGTAACATTTCTTCAAATAGTTTTTGCGCAATGTGGATTCATTTGGGATATGGCGGTTACAATATTTTTCAAAAAATTTACGGAACGCCGGTTGTTCTAATTTATTCCATGGTATGGTTGATTGTGCCATGGAGTTGCATAAAATTCATTTTTAGAATCCTGGTTTTGTTGGGAGCTGCCACATAACGCAGTTGAAACAAACGTATGTTGTACTTTCCCGTTAAATCGCTTCTCCACTTCCTTGTGAATGGCTGTAGCAAGGTGTTGATCGATCTGAAATTTCTGGTTTGAGGATACCTAAAATCAAGCGAGTTCTTAAAAAAACTTTAAAGAAACCTCGAAATAATGAATATTTACAATAATAGCTCCGTAAATAATGAAAGATTAATTAATTATTATACTAATACATATACTCACTTGCTTTGAACAGGCGTTACAGTATACAACTGTTCCATCAGTGGATAAATGTTTAGCATTCTTTATCCATTTCTTAAGTAAATCAGCTTTAGAGCTTGATACTTTCGGCATGGCGATCTTTTTAAATATTAAACGGCAGCGAAGTATAATACGTGTTTTCTAAATAAAGATTGCGACAGGTGCACGGCACGGCGCCAAGTTATTAATCGGGGAATCACCGATATGCTTTGAGGGAATCACCGATATGCTTGTAGTCTTTATAATTTGTGCACCGTTGTCAGATTTACATAACAATGAGTAATAATAAATGTGTTTAATCTGAATAAAAAAAAGAATGCCATTTTATGTTTTTTAAAGCGAATGCCTTGGATTATATGTAGAAAAAACCTAAAATATTATGTTATATTTTTTTATCCGAAAAACCCCTAAAATATTAAGTTATATGTAAAAATATGTAAATTCATATAAATCCGGTCTTTAGCCATGACCAATCCTCCTCATGACTGATTTTTGAGGGCCAAAATATATTTGTACAAAGACGGTGAGCAGCCTAGGCACCGGTACATCTTGTTCGCTGGAATATGTCTAGTTCACTTACATTCATGGGTCAGTTATATTGTGGACATTCTTGAAACGCGTGGAACAGCTTTCCAGCCGTCTTAAGGTTGATTCTTACTATACCGTTTCCATTCCGTAACCGTTCCGTAAATTATTGAAATAAAAAATTCGCCTTCGCTTAAAGCAGGTTATTGCGTGTGTATGCACATTATCCGTAAGGAATACTGTGTATACAATCACATTGTACGGAACGATTACGAAACTGATATGGAATGGAAACGGAATGTATAGGGAGAATTAACCTTTATCCTGCCACTACTTCTGTGCGGAACGCTACCTAGAAATTCATAACTACAGGTTGACCATGAGTAGTTCTTTTTACTGTCTTGAACCTTCCTTGTGGATTGTTTTTGGTAATCAAAAGGATCTATTTTTAAGCATTGCCTTGAAGCATATTTAGGGTATATAATTCGTGCCTCGGGGTATGGACAAAAAACCGTATAATAGCATTCCTCATTCCTTCTGTTAACTGCGCCCGTGACAGACTGGAGTGGGTGTGTAATACAAAGCAGCACATGCACTAGCGGAGGCTCGAATGGTTCTGAGAGGAGGAGAGGATTCAAGCCTGGAAACGGGATAGATGCTCTATAATGCGATGCTACGGATGCGGAATTAAGTGCAGGTGAAATTGGATGATCGAGTTTATATACAGGATGATCCGTTTACACTCTGATTGGATATGTGCAACTCGCTTTGGGCGCAATCGGTAGGTAGCAGCGATGAATCGAACATTTCTGCTCATTTGTAATCAGATACGAAGAGGAACTGGCTAAATGGTGAGATGAGGTGAACATCATATCAATTCTTAATTCTATTCGTGTATATTTCAAGACGAATCGTGTAGAAATCATCAAAAAGTAGTTTCTACGATCTGAATTGCCTGCGCATAATGGTGTACTGGGTTCAGGTAACGAAGTTGGAAATCATCCGTCAAAACTAAGGGCCGTATCGTCAATCGTTCCTACAACTGAACCGCGTTATGCATGACTTGACCAAGCGCCATTTGATAAATTTCCGGATCTTGCTGCCATATGATGCACAATAGTTCAACTTACCTATAAAAAAATGCATGCAGTATAGAGACCTGAGGTTTAACAGCAAAAACATCTTTAACTAAGCGCCAAGCGTAATATTTGTTGTTATTTATTTTGCAACACATGACCAAACGACCAGGTTTTGTATGAAGTAGGCCTCTGCACTACCAAAGTTATGCATAAAGTGACCAATATTGAGAAAAGACGTGGCGGACCATCGAATGCTTCGATTCAGACATTGCCTAGTAAACCCCTCAAAAAACTGTTGCCAAATGGGAAACCTATAGCAGAAAAGAAGCTAGACGATTCAAATTGATTACTAAGTCTTATACCCAAGGATTCCAAGAAGTTCTATAGAAATCTAATTCAACCAGATTTCGAGCTTGAACATGAATATTACAAATCGATTCAAGTTCTTGACTCATTTCGAAAATGTGTGGTTACTCCTTGCTTCATTTTATTTTTGAATCAGCATATAATTGAGATTATTACAACATTTATCATTCAAGCAATTTCTTATTTGGGTTCGAGAATGTTTTAATTTCTTAGTTTTAATTTTTCAATGAATTTGATGCTAATTACTAAAATACAAAAATAAAGAATCATTCTGTAATGCGTTCCTTATTTTGCAGAGCATTACCAAGTAACATTTTTGTGTTGAAGAATGAACATTCTTTTGAAGGCAATATTTGACCAAGCGCCATCTCATTTCATTAAGTTTCAGGTATGAGAGTTTTTGAAAAAAGGACTCCATACATAAATCTGTAATGTCATTTTCTATTCACAGAACAAAAATCATTCAGCACAATCGTAGAATTGATTTTTTAATGAATTGTTAATGTTTATTCGTCCTCCTGAAAAACAGAGATTTGTCGCTTTGTCAAGTCATGCATAACACGGTCCAATTGTAGGACCTTTTATGGTCTCCTTGATTTTCATAGTTTTCTACCGTGTGAGAGGTCTATTTTGAGGTTATTTTATCAATAACTATTTGCATCAAATTGTTCATGCTTTTGATTTATATCCTCGGTTATATAACCAGAAATTTCCCACAATTCAAAAAGAAAGCGTAGCCTCACAATAAGAAAGCGCCGACGCTGACACGGAACAGTAGAAATGTAGAAATATCCCAGACTTTCTGACGGAGAGAAACGACTATGAAAATCGAGGAGGCCATAAAGGCATCCTACAATTGTAGGAACGACTGACGATACGGCTCTATGGACCCAGGATGGCTGTCAACTGGTGCTGGGATTTAACAAAGACTACCTTGCTTTCGCTCTGGTGTCAATTACGTCTATAGGTTTCATGCCTAAGAAAAAGCTATCCTTGTGATGAAATGTTTAATGGCATGAAGAACCTAGGATCTTATTAGTTTGCCAGAAACCAATGAACTCACAGAGATGCTTGATAAAAGCGTCAAAAGCTGTTAGAATTTTGAATCATTCTCTAGGAGGTCAATTCTCGAACTCTAGAAAAGGATCGTAAAGAATTCTGTCTAGGGAATGATCTGAAGGCCTGCCCGCTGTTGACTTCCCATGCGATACCGCCAGCAGTTCATAAAGGATTATGTTCAGCATACGTTAGATCCCCTGGGTAAGAATATAGTTACGAACATGTACAACAGAAAAATTAAATGGTTCAAGTTGGTTAGAAAGGCACATACAATTATTGAGATGACCTTTCTCTACCATACCGGTAGTACTGTCTATCTACCTACGTCGTCCCTTTCGCATCTGGTCCGCACAACGCGATAGCGGGGCAGAGATGCGTAATGCCAACATTTCTGTCACTCTAAATTTTTAGGGCAAGTGTACGGAGAAGCCTGTATGTGTAAAATATGTAAGTATATAAATATAATATCATCAGAAAATTGAGAGATACCCTCTCCAACGCCTTACACCCCCAACCAGCAGTTTTTAATCCCTACAAAAATGTTGCTGAATATGATCAGTAGTTCCTGAAACCCCAAGAAATGAATTTCTTGTTTTACCACTAGTTCCGCCGTCACTGGACGGATTTTCAAAAACTACTAGGCTTTTTCGTCCTTGGCATAGCAGTAACCTCGTGTAGAAAATTCATCAGAATCCGAGCGACACTCCCCAAGTTATAGGCGGGTCAATAATTAGACAGGCAGAACGAAATGGGTGACATCGTTCAAGAGCATAAGTGTATATGAAATTATGCCTTTGATTTAAGGTCACAGGTACTTGAAATGAGGTAACTCCATTGTTTCAAAGAAATATAGCTCTTTGAATTAAGAAATGGACCTTAGCTCAAAGAAATATGTCTTAGAAACATATAAAAGTCACGATCCTTGATTTAAAATAGTTACCTCTTGCACTACTTTGTGATGACTTCGTATTTAGAGATAAGACTGATTAAGGCGATACTTTCACACTCTTTCTCCCAATAATGACTCGACAAGCGAGTGTTGTCAATAACACAGTTGCCTGAAAGGTAAAATAACCATGCTCAAAGCCTAATTTCATGATTGAGCTTGCAGATTGAACAGCCACATGCCTTCGAGGTGATCCTATATGGGAATAGAAACTGCTTACTCCAAGCATTCCGGGAGGATGAAACATTATTCCACTTTCCAGGCTGGTAATATCGCGTTAGCAGTGGTGTATGATATGTTCTGCTACTCTCTCTTTTGGTATCAGACTGTACTACTAGAGTAAATATTGCCCAACTGCTATTAGTCTAATACTTTTGCACCCATCCTGGTGGGGAATTTCGTTTGCAACTAGCATGCTAACTGCTAACTAGCAGCTATGATTGTCTATCAAAGATTAACCTGGGGGATCCTACAGTTGATGTCTTTTAGATGTGGCATACCGTTGCTAGAGCTGTATACGTCTCCTAGATTTCTAGAACTGTCAGGTACAGCTTTAATTTATAATAGCCCAATCATATTAGACGAAAATACCCTTGGTTTGCAAAGTAATTTTAAAGTCAGATTTTATTGTTCAACCAGGAACTTAAAACCTAAACGCATAAAATGGATACATAAATATTTGTGGGAAAACTGTTTATTCGACGACAAAGAATGAGAAAACGTGTGTTTTGGGGTTCAATCGAAACTGTTGACAGGAACGAAAACACTCTTCAAATAAGATTTTTATGCATTTATGAGACCTACAGAATGAGACTACATGTAAAAAACCCACTAATAGTAAAAAAGTTATGGACGAAAACCGAGGCAAAATGCAGGTTTTGGCACTTGTTCCTAATGCGACGATAATTTGATGCAGCTACTTGAAATTCTTCAAATCTGAATAAAAGTGAAAAAACATTTATTTCTCCAAATTCCAAAAAAAAAAAATTAACTGAGAAAAAAAGAGCTTCGTGGAGTCGAACCTCCGTTCTGCAATCGTTAACCCTTCCCATTACGCTACGATGTCTCTTGGTTTACTGGATCCTTGACACTGACTTGATACTGACAAATGTCAAGCGAACGTTGGAGCCACATCAAATCTGTTATAAACAATTATTACATTACTCTTAAAAACCATTCAAGGTA